ACCTCCTATGCCGATCCTAACGTGCCTAAAAACATGTGGCAGTTGTGCGTAGATGGAGCGTCAAATCACAAGGGAACTGGAGTAGGCGTCGTTATAATCCCCCCAGACGGAATCTTGTTGGAGCAAGCCATCACACTGGGTTTTCCAGCCTCAAACAACGAAGGAGAGTACGAGGAGCTGCTCACTGGCATGTGCGTGGCAAAGGAGCTGCTCACTGGCATGCGCGTGGCAAAGGAGTTGTCGATCAAAAGGCTAGCCATCTGCTCAAATTCCCAACTAATCACCAATCAAGCATCAGGGGAGTATATGGCGAAGCACCCAAGGATTATCCAGTACCTAGACAAAGTCCAAGAGATTTTGAAGGCATTCCCTACCTTCATTATCTAACAAATTCCCCGGCCAGAAAACACACATGCAGATGCGCTAGCGAGTCTAGGATAAGCGTTGGATACCGAGTTCAGACGTTCAATTCCGATCGAGCACCTTGATCAACCAAGCATCGAAGAAGCACAGCTGCCGAACCTAATGCAAATCGATGAGGATCCCAGCTGGTAAGACCCCTTCTTCGCCTACTTGGTGGGTCATGGCCATTCATGCAATAGGTCATTGACTTAGTGGGTCCCATGTAGCCGGCACCTGCCAGGAAAGACATGATGATCGTCGCCATATACTACTTTACTAAATGGATCGAGGTCGAAGCTCTATCCTCTACTAAAGAAGCCGACGTGGAGCGATTTGTCTAGAAGAACATTATCTGCTAGTTCGGCTCCCACAATCGTTGGTCACCAACAACGGATCGTCGTTCATTGGAAGGCAGATCACTGCATTCTTCGCAAAGTATGGCATCAAACAACACATGTCAACTCTTAGATATCCGCAAGGCAATGGCCAAGCAGAAGCATCTAACAAGATCGTGTTGGATTGTCTTAATAAGAGACTAGAAGGAGCCAAAGGAAAATGGGCCGATGAACTGCCTAGAGTCCTATAGGCTTATCGCACCACCAAAAGAAGCTCAACTGGTGAAACCCCATTTTCCCTCGCCTACGATCCTCTAATTCCTAAGTCAGTTAGTTGATCTTTAGGAAGATACAAAAATAATAGAGAAGGTTGGAGTTTTCTCTATAGTATACGGTACAAGAGAACCGAGTGGCCGGAGATGTGTGTGGTGGTGGCCGGAGTCGTGAGAGAGAGAGAAAGAGAGAGGGGTTTCTCGGGTAAAAATCAAATTACCTCATATGTGTCATGTAGGCATGTATTTATAGTGCTCCTTGTAAGCTAAGGTTTGAAGAATAATCCTTATTTAATTAAGATTATTCTTATCCAAAAATAAGATATTGGAATTAATCAAGGAGATTCGGTGGAAATCTCATCCCTGATTTAGGGAGGTATTCTCATCTTAAATCAATTATAATTTCCCTATTAATTAGGATAACTAATTGACCTAGGGAATTTCCCTTTTCCACATGTCACCCGCTCATTAGTCGCCAAAATATATGCTCCCACATAAACTGCATAGTTGAAGTGGGTTTTGTTAAAAATAAAATTAGAGTCAAGTTGACTACCCCAATATTATATATGAGCAATGGCACTTCCAAAGCTTAAGCTCATCTGCACCCTCTTCTTCCTTCGAGCCCTCCTCACATCCACCACATCAATCCAAGCAGCCCCAGCAAACTCATATCTCTTTAGAGAATACATAGGAGCTGAATTCATCAATGTCAAGTTTTCTGATGTCCCCATTAACCGAAATGTAGAATTCCACTCTCTCTTTTTCCATAGACTATGACACCTCAGGCTCCTCCCCCCACCAATGGAAAATTCAATGTATTTTGGGACTCTGATAACCTTAGCCCTTCCCGAGTTTTGTCCATCAAAAATCAGCATTCAAATGTCAAAGTGGCCTTGAGCCTAGGAGGGGACAGTGTGAATAGTGGCTCTGCTTACTTAAAGCCTTCCTCAATTGACCCGTGGGTTTCTAATGTTGTTTCTTCACTCACAAGCATCATCCAATAGTACAATTTGGATGGAATTGACATTGATTATGAGCATTTTAGAGCAGACCCCAATACCTTTTTTTGAGTGCATGTGAAGGCTTATAACAACCCTCAAGAACACTGGAGTGATCTCATTTGCTTCCATTGCTCCATTTGATGATGACCAAGTTCATAGCCACTACCTGGGTTTGTGGAAGATCTATGGCCATTTGATAGACTACGTGAATTTCCAGTTTTATGCCCATGATCAGGGCACCTCAGTGGCTCAGTTCATCGATTATTTCAAGACGCAAAGCTCCAGCCAATTACAATGGTGGGAAGGTCTTGGCAAGCTTTATCAGTGATGGGAGTGGTGGATTGTCCCCTGAGAATGGTTTTTTCACTGCCTGTCACCGGCTCAAGAGTGAGCAAAAACTTCATGGAATCTCTGTTTGTTCTGCAGATGACTCCAAGAAAATCGGTTTCCGCTATGAAAAGCAATCACAAGCTCTCTTGACAAAATAACTTGGAATTTAGCTAAAAGTCGGGAATTTAAGAGGATAAATTGACAATTCCCTTGTTTGGCAAGTTAAGCGCGGAATTTATTAAATTATGCGCAGAAAAAATTGTGAAAATTGAGACATCAAATTCCCAAGTTTAATTTCCACAAATTTCACAATTTTCGTAGTACCATCTACAAAATTCGACATACATAAATCCAAACATTGAAATCTTCAATTGCCAAAAATTGAAATGATAAAAATCTAAATTCCGTCATTTTAGAATTCTATGTTATTTTTAATTCCTTCATCCAAACAGTACATATTTATCTTGTAAATGAATATGATTGAGAATTAGGCTCTAGAATTGGATTCCTGAGTACTATAATGCACTAAGAACGAGTTGCTTCTTTATGTTCTGTACATTTAAAATCTTTAAAGTTTTACAGAATTCAAAAACTCCTCTATGAAATATTTTGTTAACAATGTTTACACCAGATTAGTGACCCAACAAAGCAAAAATAAAATCAGCATCTACGAGTAGATGAAAAGGAAAACAGGATAAACACTTCAATCTACTTGTTGGTAGTGCGGGCACAGTATGACACACAAAACCACAAGTGCAACCATCTGAAACCCCCAAATAGTAAAATGGAGAAAACCGACATCTTGAACAATATAATTACTCCTCCATCATGACAACAGTTTTCTCGGGTTGCTGTTGCGAAACCTTGACTTTGATCGGTAAGGTGAGTGATGGATCTTGTTGAAGTGCAGTTGGCGCTTTGACCAAGCTGATGCTCTGTTCCAACTCTTTTACTGCCTCTCTGTTCTCCTTGGCTTTCTTGCCCTTCATCCTGCTCAAGTTTTTCACAAATTTGTTAAAATGAGGAAAACAAAAAGACATTGTACTGTTTCTACTGTAGATTAAAATTAAGAGGAAAGTACCTCTTCTCATGGTGTCTTTCCTCTCTGATGATTCTGACTTTGTCGATCTTCTTAATGGCCTTGAGGGTGTTTTCTGTGAGATTTCTGTCATATCTCTCAGGCCTATTTCTCTTTCTCTCAAACTCAAAAGTTGAGTCCTACAAAAAAATGCAAATAGTAACATCGGACTTGCAGGATATTAACCCAGCTTTTCAACAGTCCCAATATAAAGTGTGAATAATAAAACCACCACGTTGTTTACCTGTGTCATATCCTTTCCACGCAAACGCCTATAGGCCTTAGTCCATTTTACTTTGCGTGGATTCCTCTTCATTTTAAAGTTCTTGTGGCATTTGGATCTACAGAATCGAAAAATCTACAAGAGGAATGGCTTTCAGGTAATTGAGCCAAACATAAAAGGAAATGTGAAGGTGAGCTAAGTCCATAGTGGCACTTAGACATTGCTCACTCACTATAGAATCCCAAACAATAATGAATGGCCATCATCCATTTCGCAGTCAAACCATAGGGAGTAAAAACATGCAAACTATATGTGGATGAATTTGGATTAAATGATCAAGAAATTAGCTCAAACTGAGTACCTCAATCAAAAACATAAAAACAAAAACAAAAAGCCCAAGCTGATGCCAAACAAATCGACCCATCCTGGCATCAATCTCATATATATGCACATAAATAGCATCCCTATCAACCCAACCAACAGTAAATCAGGCAGCGATTGATTGTAGGACTGGAAAACCCTATAGGTTCAGCTGCAATCAATAAAATTTTCAAACTTTTAAATTTGGTTGTCAAAGGTAGAGTAAAGTTTGAAAATGCATCACCACATAGCAATACATGGTCCACGTGTTTTTTTCTTTTATAAGAAACAAAGAATTCTATTAAAGAACCAGAAAGCATATAGGTGAACAAGAGATCCACCAAATATACAACCACCAAAATCATACAACAAAGACACCCCTTACCACAATTCACTTGAACATCTATAACTCTACGATACTACTGCTTTCCGATCCAAATATATTAAATAAAAGATAAACTCCCTAAACTCTGAAGACGTAGATGCCCACAACCGAATACAATCCCCATAACTCAACTATCTCATCACCCTTAACATTACATGGTTTACGTTTGAAAATTCTATTACACAAGAGTACAACAACTTCCGTTTTCCTCAGTAGAGAGTATATAAAAACTTTACCTTTGCATCATTACGAACAAACTGAATCCCATGTCCAGGATATACTGTAGAGGAGCAAAACCAGCATTTTTCCAACCTCATTGTGTCCCTTGACTATATATAACTATTTCTGAGAGAGGAAAAAGAAATAAGTACACTACCATTAAAAATTAGCAGAGGAATGAAATTCATTACTAAACCCTACGAATTTCGATCTGGATCGAGCGTACCCAATCGCGGTACGGTATCGATCTGGAACGAAAAATTTAACGACTCAGTTCCAGAGGAGAGAACAGTACCTGATAGACGACGTCGCTGCTAAAGAACAGTACCTGACCGCCGACAGCAGACGAGCAATCGAGGGCACTCGAGGGAGAGTGCAATAGCTGATGAGCCCCCGTTTGATTCTTGGTCATTACTAAACCCTAAGGGGAAGGAAGATGTTTGATTTTTTGTCTCCCAAAATCAGCTCCAGCGGTGACGTCCAGCCCGGTCAAGGCCCAAGGCAAGATAGCCCAAGTTGCTGGCCAAGAGCGCTGATGTAAATGAAGAAATTTTTTATTAAAAAATCGAAAAAAATTCTGAAAAATTATTTAAAAATTCAAATTTTTTCTATACATACCTAGAAATTTTTTATTTATTAATCTCATATATATATAATTAATTCCATGTGAATAGTAATTGTCCTTGGATTGCCATGGCAAAAAACACAAAAATAATTTATAGGGTATATACTATTCAAGTGAACGAAAACCGGTCTTACTTGCCCTTACCCTTTGCCATGACAAATGGATGGAAGTGCGGGAACGTACTAGAGGTTGGGTGGGTGGGTCAGTGTGTCAATATAATAAAAGTACTACTTCTAGTTTCAAGAATCCAGTCTCGTTCTCATGGACTCTATGGTTCAAGGAAGTTGTGGTCACCAACACTTGGATCTAATCTAAGGGTTGAGAAAAAAACTGGTTTAAATATCAATATGTCATCTTTTATTTTTATTTTTTTTTACTGCAGTAAAATACTATTTTGGTTATTAAAACTATTTTTTTTTAAATAAATTAAAACAAAAAAAGAAGAGTTTAATATCATAGATGAAAAACATGAATAAAAAACTCATAACGCTAGTCATCTTTCTCATTCATGCCTAGTGAATAAGAAAACATGAACCTTTTATGAAAATTCAATATAGTTGCATAAACCCAAGTCTGGGTTCATGAACTGGAAAAACAAAACCCAAAATTTATTTGTAAAAAATTGAAGTTTTTCCAAACTGGTTTCATGAATCATTCAAATCTAACATTTATAAACAGAAATTTGGTCACAAAGGCAGAGAACAGAATGAAAGTGACTTGGTTGTGGGTCCTTGAAATTCAATCACGTTAAAGTGTGAAGGGATGGCTTGATGGCTCGGAATTTGGTTCTTTCTGTAACACCAGAGTTGAAGGTAGTTGTAAACGACAATGGAGGAAGAACATGTTCTTGGTTTTCTGAGAGAGAGCATGTTTTGGTTGGAGTGATTTTTTTCTTTTTTAAAATTTTTGTTTTTGTTTAGGTTAAATTAATATTTTGTACAGTAAAAATAATAAAATAATGACATATTGATATTTAAATCAGTTTTTTCTTAACTTAGTTAGATCCAAGAGTGAGTGACCAAAACTTCCTCAGACCCTAGGGTCCAAGAGACATGACTATTCAATAATTGCTAAGGAATAATGAAAGTCATTGTTCTTTCAATACATTTAACAATAAAATACATAACTTATTCTCTCAAAAAAAAAAATACATAACTTATTGAATAAATAAAAAACCACTTATTCATAAAATAAATAAATTCATAATTAAAATTTGCATGCTGAAACATAAATTATTGTTGAAACTTCAAATTAAACAAAACGGAAATTGAAAATATTTAAAAAAAAAATAGCAACTTTAGCCAACTGGTTTTTTCACCTTCGCTTTTGCACTAGTCCTTGTGGTTGAGATCTCTCCAAGAGAAAAGTGACTGGGCATAGAGGACGGTGAGGATGATGCTTGGCTATGAACACCTGCATAATTGCCCTCCACCCCTTTTCATCTCATTTACTCTAATTTCTTAGCAGAGTCATCTAAAAAAAAGGATTATGAATTAATATCTCATTTCTTGAAAGGCCTATCTTTGTAGCTCTCGTTGAAACATGATCGAAGACGGATATTGGAATGGATATAAACGAATTGATCAGCTATTGCAAAATTCAGCTAATTTCTATTAACATTATGGATGTAAGAATATGTGTTCCAAATTCTTTCCACTGATGAACTTGATATCGGTTAAGCCAACACTTTTATCATTTGTAATATATATAATTTATTTAAGACAAAAATTCATAATTAAAAATATTAAAATTAAATTTATACCTTTTTAGCGACCTTTGCTAATTCTGATGTTTCTACATTATATGTTGACCACCAATCAATGAGATTGATTACCACTACATCTGTTTGAGCCTCTAGTGAACCATAAAAACCTTTTCATTGATGGAAGCGAGCGAATTGTCCTCGTAGCAAATGTGCCTCCGCTTTAGTTTCTGATATCCTATCAAAGGCTTTCACAACATTTTTCATCACTTCTATGTCTCCATTAGGGCTTTTTTCTAGCCACACCTCATGTTGCTATTTGACTTAAATAAAGTCTATCATAAAACCTCGGTGTTAAGGCAAATGCAAGACAATGCATGGGAATATTCATCTTTTCCTACCTACGAAGCACAATTTCTTCAACCTCAGGAAAATATTCGGCATATATTCCACTTGCCATAATATCTTTTATTTCGCCAAGCATATTATACATCCTTTCATAAATTTCACCCATCTTTTGGACATCACCATCGTCAAATTTTACCACCAGATAAATTGGCTTTGTGAAATCTAATATTACCTCAACATGTTCCCAAAAATTATCATCTTACATGGTATTTTGAACCAGAGTAGCTAAATTCATTTCGCCTTCATCTAAATTTTTCAACAAATCTTTCCATGCTCTTTGAATAACAATAGTTTGTAGTGCTTCTCTAAAATCAACTAGCTTCTTTAACAAGATATAATGTGATGCAAATATTGTTATAGCTAATTTCAGTAACTCCAAATGTGACACTTTTAAAAATTGTCAAAGCATGTGTGTAGTTTACAAAAAAATTGACAATTGACTTTCCAGATTTATAAATATTTGTAAGCCACTCAAGTTTTTGTGCAAGATTTTAAAAATTAGATTTAAGGTATGAACAACACATGGAGACCAAAAAATAGTCAAACAAAGTAGGGCAAATTTTCAAATATGCTCGGATATGTATTCTTCTCCAATATGGAGGTATTTATAAGGAAGTACAAAGATGTATTAACCCTAAATACAATAGGAAATAAATATAAACTAGAATAGAAAATAAATCTCAATTATAATATGACTAGACAAATGGGTAAGTAACCAAAATCTTAACATAGTAAGGAACCAAAATCCTAACTAAGTAAGGACTCGCCAACACTCCCCCTCAAGTTGGTGCAAAGATGTTACTCATGCCCAAATTGACAAGCGAGTCATAGAATACCATACTCGACATTAACCAAATTGAACAACTGTAGAGAATGTCACAATTGTAGAGAAAGTCTTGTTTGTAAACCATGAGTGAAACAACTGAAAAACCAAATCAAAGTTCGCAACAAAAACACAAGAGCAAACCTTAACAAATATGGCACATAGCAGAACACATAAAAGTAGAACACAAAAACCCTGTAAGCACAACAATAGGTAAGGCAGAACACAGAAACCCTATGAGTAGGACAGTAGCTAAGGTAAAACACATAAACCCTGTGAGCACGGCAGAAGGGTCCATTAAATTTGAATCCCAAGAATAGGTCGATGGACTATTCAGTATGAATCATCACAATAGGGGTATGAGAAGCAGTGGGTGAAGTATAACTAGAAGCAGGTGAAGAAATAAAGGCATCAACATGTTAGACCAAGGTCTGACGTGGATAAGTCTACTGAGCTTTTGAATTTGAATGTTAGTTCTCTATCCTCAGGTTCTGTTGAATGAGGAGATTTGTGTTGTATAGAACTCTATCACTCCATAGCTAATATCCTGGTTTGTAGGAACAGCTCTCTGTTTTTCAAACTTGTACTTATCAATACGTTCATTATAAATATACAGCTGCAGCCATATTGGTAATGCAAGCTTTTCACACCATTTCAAAGTCTTACATGGTATTAGAGCCTCTAGTCTAACGACACATTATTATTATTATTTTTTCTGTTCTCATGGCTACCAACAACTCAGGTGCTGCTCCTACCAATACCAATGATGCAAATCCACCACCACCACCTCCACCCAACAATTCTACCATAACCACCCATGCTGCTCCACCCTCAGTTTCTACTATTGTTACCATTAAGCTCGACAGAACCAACTATCCACTTTGGTTGGCTCAAATATCTCCCATTCTTCGTAGCCGTGACCTTTTTGGCTATGTTGATGGCTCGGTGCCATGTCCACCCAAGAATCTCCCAGCCACAAATACCTCTCTCCTGAATCCTGCTTATCTTAATTGGGTGCAACAAGATCAGACCATTCTCAGTTGGATCAACAACTCATTGAGTCCTGCCGTATTGGCCACTGTGGCTCTTTCCCCCACTTCTCGCCAAACTTGGCAATCGTTGGAGCGCCGTTATGCGTCCACATCACAGAATCGCATTTTACACTTGCGCAATGAGTTGCTACGCACTACTAAGGGAGATATGTCCATTTCTGACTTTTTGGACAAAATGAATTCGATTTCTGATAATTTGGCTCTTGCAGGAAGTCCTCTCACAGATGATGATCTAGTTTCCATTATTATGAATAATGTCGGAGCTGCATTTGAAGTCACAGTCAGTGCCGCACAAGCCCGTGATACTCCAATCACGTATGAAGCCTTGGAGGCTCTTCTACTAAGCGCTGAACGCCGTATGGGGGAGCAGTCACAGCCTGTTCCTAATCTGAACACAGGAGTTACTGCCTTTGCTGCTTCACGTGGCCGTGGCAATCGTGGGCGTTCTCCTGGTCGTGGTTTTTCATCCAACAGAAATTCTGTTGCTACTCCTGGAGGGGGACAATTCAGGTCCAATTTTCCTAATCAACGAGTTTTTAATTCTCCAGGGGAGTCTTCTTCTTCAGTCCCTGTTCGCTCTATTTGCCAGATTTGCAACAAGCCTGGCCATCAAGCTTTGGATTGCTTTAACCGAATGAATACTGCATATGAAGGCCGAATTCCAGCAAGTCGCCTCTCTGCAATGGCCACCCAGTCTCACACTGCAAATCGACCTCCCTCAAATGCTTGGCTCGTTGACACAGGTGCCAATGCTCATATCACACCAGAAATTGGCAATCTCAATCATGCTCAGGAATATGTTGGTA